TCAGCACAGAGCCCGACCCGGGGCTCAAACTCAGGGACCATGAGATCACGACCTGAGCCGAAGTCGGACACTCAACCAACTGAGCCACCCAGGCGTCCCAGGAGTATTTTATTCTTAAAGTCTTGCCTTATGGGATAGATCTTTCCGGAACTGCGTACTCAAGCTTTCTCAAGATATGGCTTTGGTGATAGCTGCTGTTATTTCAAAATGCCTCAGAAGGGGTGCCTGGGTGGCTCAGTCGGTTAAGCGTCCAACTTTGGCTCAGGTCATGATCTCATGGTTTGTGAGTTCGAGCCCTGCATCTGGCTCTGTGCTGATGGCTCACAGCCTGGAGCCTGCTTCGGATTCTGTGTCTCCTTCTCTCTGTGCCCCTCCCCGCTTGCACTCCGTCTCTGTCTCTCAAAAATGAATAAACCTTAAAAATTTTTTTTTAAAAATGCCTCTGAAAATCTAATGACCACATATGGCTCCTGCAAAAATATTAAACGGTCACCTTGGAGGAGCGGAGTGTACTGTTGGGTCCCGAGTGCCTTGCCGTGTGGGGTGGGTTGCTGAACTGTCCCCTAGTAGAGGTGCTCTGACCGTGCTTCACCACTAAGTACTCCTTGTTCTTTCTCTCCTTCCCCATTTTCCAGAGGCTCAAGCAGTTCTCCTTACTGACATTTTAGTTTTCCTTCAAGAAAAAGACCAGAAATACGTCTTTGCATCATTGGTAAGCTGAATTGTTGGTGTCTTCTGTTTGTAATTGATGATGTTTGAAACAGCTGGAACAGGTATTGGGTCTGACCATGGATTACTGCTCTCCTGCCCCCTCAAAATGAATTTGCTCAGGACAGCTTCCTCTGAGGAATCTCTCAGATACCTTTGCAATTTTCTGTCTCCATGCCATCCCCCTCTCCCCCCGCCAAAAAAACCCCATTATTTTTCTGTTCCCTCACAGTCCCTTTTAGAGTCTTGGGCATTCTATCTAAAGAAATCTGTTGCTGGAGTATTTCTTGCACGTTATGCCCCGTAAATCGTGCCAGTATGTATTGTTGCCAGACAGATTCACAGAGGAACCTAGAAGGGTTCATCCTGTAGACCCCATGTCTGGATCCTCTAGAGATACGAATTATTATCTCTTTTTTGGAAGTCTTTTTCTGTTTGATAAAATGTAAATGATGAGATACTTCTCTTGATCTTAAATCCACCCCAGTTTGCTAAACCATACGCCCTTTTTCCCCAGTCTTGAGAAAAAACGGACGTATGTCCCTGGGGGAGGCATAGAGAGTGATGGTTCCATTTACATACATTATTCAGTGCTCACCACAGTAAGCTCAGCTCCCGTCATCTCCTAGGGATCTAGTATAAAGGGAAGAGGGAAAGAAATGGGAACCCGTGTGCTAAGAACCCCCGGCACCTTCTGTGTGCGCCATACAGCACTGTTAGCCGTAGCCCTCGGCCCTCGTGCCTGCTCCTCTCCTGACTGGAAGCTTGTACCTTTTGACCATCTCCCTGCCCCTCCACATCTGGTAGCCGCAGGTCCGGTCTCTTTTTCTAGGAGTTTGGTGTGGGCTTTTTAGGGTTTTTTTCCTTTTAGATTCCACACATACGTGAGATCGTACATCTGGTCTTGCCTTAGATCAGAGTTGTTCTTGAGAGTTAGGCTGTCGCCTGCCTCTGTCACGTCGGCCGTCTCCCCTTTCTCCAGGACCAGAAGTCAACAGTGATCTCTTTGAAGAAGCTGATTGTGAGAGAGGTAGCGCACGAGGAGAAAGGTCTGTTCCTGATCAGCATGGGCATGAGGGACCCCGAGATGGTGGAAGTGCACGCCGGCTCCAAAGAGGAGCGGAACAGCTGGATTCAGATCATCCAGGACACGATCAACACCCTGTAAGCAAAACACCGGGGCGCCCGGCCCCCTCTGACCTCATCCCCCCCCCAGGGAGCGACTGGGGTCACTGACCTCGTGCGGGTCTTTGATCCGTTTTGTGCTGTGTTGGTGTCAGGAACAGAGATGAAGACGAGGGAATTCCTAGCGAGAGCGAGGAAGAAAAGCGGGCGCTGGACAGCAGAGCGCGGGAATTAAAAGGTGAGGCTGTTGGCAGCGTCTGGGGCCGTGCGCGTGCCGTGTGTGCAGGTGCGGAGGCTGCCGTCCCAGCATGCACTTCAAAACAGGAAGTGAATGGCTTTTGACAGAGGAGCAGCCAGATTGGAGCCGACCAGCGTGCCGGTACAATGGCCGTCAGAAGGGTCCGACACCAGGTCAGGGGGACATCCTCTTTTCTCACTGGCCGTGTTCTTGGAACCCAGTTGGCCTTCTTTGTACTTTGTCGCAGAAGAATTTGCCAAAATTCACGGTCATGTCTAAGATTAAAACAGAGAGAGAGGTACTCGAGGAAAGGAGTTTTCCAGTTACTCTGTTTTTATCAGTTACTCCTGCCACTGTGCTGTGTGTTCACAATGAGTTATGAGGTGGTTTTGGGAGACGTGTGCTCACTGATGATGTTCGACCTCTACTTACTGCTGTTTCGTGTAGTCTTGTCGACATCCCTATATGCTCATCTCCATTGTGCAGATGAGAAAGCTGAGGCCCATGAAGGCCAAGCAGTCCAGGGTCACATATGTGCTGCATGGCCGAGAAGTCTCCCCTACCTGTCAACAGCAGAGGCTCCCCTCTCTCTGCCAGTGCTTACTGAGTGTTGTGCTTTGGGTAGAAATAAGGCCCACTCAGGTAAATGTAAGCACCCGAGGAGTCCAGCTAGTCCTTTAAGCTGGACAAAGCGATAACATTGTGTTTTGGGGAGGGGGGAAAATGGCAGATTTAGGCTGAAGCCAGAGTTGCACCTGATTTATCAGCCCATGATGAGCACGGCGGGGATGAAAACTTCCTTCTCTAGATGTGTTTGAAGCACTCAGCCAGGTATACTGTTAGGTGCTAGGGAGTGGGATGTGCAAAGGTTCCTGGAGCAGCCCCTGCTGTCAGGAAACCCACGTTAGCAGGGAAGACGGGCACAAATGATGGACTGGACCGCAGGCACATACAGATGCGGGACCTAATCCTGCCTGTGGAGACTCACAGAGCAGCTTGATACATGAGCTGACTCTCAAAGCAGTTCCTGCACCAGACGACAGGCACGGTTAGGTGAAGAGGAAAGAGGACTGAGGGTTGGTGAGGAGTGGCAGGTTGGTGTGCCTGGGGGTCGGGGCCAAGAGATGGGGATGAAGCTGGAAAGGTGCCAAGGCTTGAACGGCAACAAGGAAATGATAGATTTGTGTAGCAAAATTCAACCTGAATTGTCTTCTTTGGCATCGAAGCCAGTGGGAGATCTGCTGGAGGGAGTGGGGGAGCCCCCAGGAGTGGAAGGCCCATCGAGGAGACTCCTGCGGAGAAGGGTGCATGTGGACGGCAGGGTACAGCCAGGAGACAAAAGCCCTCCCAGGTCTCTGACGGCCAAGCTGAAGCATGGAGGGAGGAGGAGGGACGGCAAGAATGGAGAAAAGAGCTTTCTGACAAGGACTAGGCATCTAAGTGAGGAGAGCCACAGGCCAGTGGGACTCAGTGGTCTGGTGCTCAGCAGTGGGCGGGATTTGGGGTGCTTTGCGTGAGTTACCAGCACATGGGAGATCATTGAAGCTGTGGCAGTGAAGATCCCCAAAAGGAGGTGTGTGAGGTGTAGGATGGAGCGCAGACGGAGCCCGATCTTCCACTGCCGGTGGCAGGAGGAGAACCAGTGAGGTCCTCAAAGTGAGGGAGGGAGACCGCTCAACGGGGGAAACGTGAAACCAGGCCTCGTTGGGTCAGCAATGGTCACCTTGGAAAGAGCAGATGCAGACAGGAGTGGGTTGAGAAATACACAGGAGGCAGGAGTGTTTCCAACAAAGTTCATGCTTGTTATGTCAGAAGATCTGATCTTGCCTGGAAAGACCCAGGATAGAAATTGCCTTCATGAAGGAAGGGGGGCGTTGGGGGTGGACCTGTGTTCTCTGTTGTCCCAGTGATGACCACGAGGTGGCGCCCAAGTCTTGGTCGTCTCTTCCTAAACCCCAGTCAAGTGACCAGATCTTTTCTCCATTGTCCCCTGCAGAACAACTTCAGCAGAAGGACCAGCAGATCCTTCTCTTACTGGAAGAGAAGGAGATGATCTTTCGGGACATGACTGAGTGCAGCACTCCCTTGCCTGAGGAGTGCTCCCCGACTCACAGCTCTAGAGTCCTCTTCCGCTCCAACACAGAAGAGGCACTCAAAGGAGGACCTTTAATGAAAAGTGCAATAAATGAGGGTAATCACCCCTCCTGATCCCTTCCCAAAGTGGTTAATGCTCTGACATTATCTGCCAGCTTTTACTGTTTTATTGTAAAATAAAGCACAAATACAGAAAACAACCCAAAACAAATAATTTTGTTTAGTAAATTACTATCAGAAGAACATCCTTGTAACGGCTACCCAGGCCCGTGGCCCATGGTTTTCTGGCCACAGGCGTATTCATAGACACGATAGTCTTGCGTGTGGTTTTTGTTAGGCTTTTCCAGAGTCCTGTTTTCCAATCCTCCCTCCATCCCTTTCTTTCTTTCCCATACACTTTTCCTTTGAAGAACCTGAACTCTTTGACTTGTAGCATCTCTCATGGTCTGGCTGTTACTCAGGCACGGCGTCTGCTCCTCTGTCCTAGTTGCTTCACACCCACAGCTACATTCAGAGGCTTAGTTCCTCAGCCGTGATCCCTTCGGTGAGCCACGTTCTCCTAGTGCTGTGCTCTTGTATCAGAGGCAAGAATAGCTCCTCGTCTCCTTCTCTGTAACACAGAGGAAAAGGAAGATAAAAAGATAAATACTTGATTTTTTCCCCCTTCATCTACTAATTTTCAGGATAGTGAGTTGGTCTGTGGTCACCCTCTAAAGGTGACCACAACTTTTTAGATCTTACTGCAGACTCATGAATTTAAACCTGTTTGATGGGGTTCAAGTCGGTATAACACTTATCCTTATGACAAGTTCCAAGTGTCCTCTGTCTGCCAACCAGCACCTCTTGGTTTGGCTTCGGAGTCGTTTTGCCACGGCCCCAGTACTTTCTGAGAGCTGCCTGGCTGTTTGGCATACTAAGATGTTGTAGGCTCATCTTGTTTTCTGCCCAGGCCTAGAGTCATGTCTCTAAGAAGCTCATGTATCTGGTAGCAAGAAATGATAGCTTAAGACCACAGTCTGGGCAGTAGGGACGGTCATCGCTGCTGAGGTTCTTTGTCATGTGGCTTGTCATCCTGGATGGCTGAATCTCCTCCTTCAGTAGGTGTCTCCGGAAAGGCTCGCGAGGACAGTACCCTGTGTGCTTCCACACTGTTGATAATTTGTGCCAGTGAGAGCTTGAAAGTCTGCTCCTCTGCTGGGATAGAAAATCCTGGGTTCCTGCCTTCTCCCCTTGGGTATCTCAGTTGTTCTTAAATAATGTTACTCCTTTTTTTCTGACTTAGCGCATTGCCACCGGAGTGTGATCAGAATTCGATTCTTCCCATAGAAGTCATGTGCCATCTGCCAAGTGCCCAAAGAATTACCTATTCGAAATCCAAGTAGTGTTACTAGCACAGGCCTTAGTGTTGGGGTTTTTCTGGGTTGATGTCCCCAGGTTCTCAGTGTTCTAATTTCGTGTGGCTTCAGAGTTTGCAGATTTCAGGAAAGTATTCTTAAAGGATAGTTTGTAGCATCTTCCCTATGCCCGTGCTTTGATTTTCTCCTTCAAGAACGTGCGTCACCCACATGCTGGGCCGTCTCCGCCTGTCCTCGGTACTTGTCACTTTCTCTTCATGCTTTTTCTCTCCCATCTTTTTAAAGTTCCAGTATCCTGCCCCCTTCTGGTAAGTTGTTTTCTGTTGGGTCTGTTTGCTCCTATCTTGTACTTCCTGTTTCTAAAATGATTGTTTCTCTTTGTTCCCACTTGTTTGAGTCTGTGTTTCCCGATTCCTGCCTGGGTTCCTCCCTGCCTGTGTCCTCTCCTCACTGTAAGTAGCTTGTCCACTTTATGAACGTGGCTTTCTGATGTGCCGTTACCACCCGCAGGGAAGTAACGCCCCGCGTTCCTTCTCTAGCTCTCTCTCCTTAGCTTTGTGTGAGATTTGACTTTGAGGTTTCCCGGTTGCGCATTTTTACGTGAAATAAGTTTCTTAATTTTTTACGTTCAGATACCTGTTCTCATTTCGTGGGACTCTTTGTTTCCGTGTGGTGTTTTTTTTAAAAATATGATGGCTTATCTTACAAGATTCCCTGCCTCTGTTTCCCTCCTCCCCCTACTCCTCTGTTGCTCCCCTCCTGCTCAAATTTTATTCCGCCAGAAGCACTTTCTCCTTTCCGTGGGACACTGGCTCTAGAAAAGAGGCCTCGCTGGTCACAGACTCGAGAATCTGGATACATCTCTGTTCTGGTCCCTTGAGTTCACTGTGGCAGCAGGCACAACCCTGCCAGTTTTAGCTGCTCTCAAATTGGCCCATCTTACTTCCCAGGGAATTCTTTTTGGTTAATTTGGCACAGACTCTAGAAGGCCACACTCCTTCCAGTAAATTACTCTGTCTTCCCTGTGCCCTTTCAAGTTTCTTAGGCCTCATATAAATAAGGCTAAAGGTTTAATCTCAGAATTCCCAGTAGAATCCAGCTAAGACACGCATTCTGAACAAAGGGGGTCACCTAGTCACTCTCTGGAATTTTCTGATCATGCTCTCCCTGTACATCTTGTGTATTACCTGGAGATGTTCTTTTTTTCATTGGAAGGTGAAATGTCGCTTTTGCATGTTTCCTTTTTTCCAGTGGAGATCCTTCAGGGTTTGGTGAGTGGAAGCCTGGGAGGCACACTGGGGCAGGCTGTCAGTAGCCCTGTTGAGCAAGAAGGTACGGTTGGCCCTGTTTCCTTGCCCCGGAGAGCAGAGACCTTTGGAGGATTCGACAGCCATCAGATGAATGCTTCTAAAGGTAAATGATTTAGGAGCCTTTGGCTGGCTCAGTCGGGTAGAGCATGTGACTCTTTCGGGATCATGAGTTCAAGCCCCACATTGGGCCTAGAGCTTACTTTAAGAAGAAAAAGGGGGGAAGAAAAGGTAAATGCTTTAGAACTTGTACGTCTGTAGGCGATCTTCGACTATCACATAAAACCAAAAATGATGTATGTTCTGGTAGCTTCAGCTCCTTGGTCCCTTTCAGCCAATAGATGTTCTAGTGAAATCCCATCGAGCAGCTAGCTGCCAAAGCACAGTTTCTTTCAGTGTCACGCTTATTTTGAGTAATAAAAAATAATTTCCTGGGATCTCAGCTAAGGTGTGGCCAAAGGACCAATAATACTTGTTTTTCTTTTCTGCTTCTAATTCTTCTCTGTAAAGTTATTAATAATCACTTAGTTGCCACCATTTGGCATTAATAAGATGCTGAAATAGTATATCTCTAAGCTATGTATATTGTGTTCTTTTCTTTCCTAATCTGTTTCACAACTTAAAAAAAAAAAAAAAAAAAAAAAAAAAAAAAAAAAAAAAAAAAAAAAACGTGTTTGCTTTAGGAGGCGAGAAGGAAGAGGGAGAGGATGGCCAAGATCTTCGAAGAACAGAGTCGGACAGTGGTCTGAAAAAGGTATTTTTCTGAAATCCACCATCTAAGACCTCCTTAGCACCTGTCCTAATTCATAATCTTGGCAGCTAGTCCGTGTTGATCTTGTCTTGGATGCTGACTTGCTGTTACTTCTACTGTAAGAGGAAAGCACATTTTTCAAGAGACCATACAGTTCAGAGTCCCCTGTTACTGGCCGTCCGGCCTTTCTGGCTCAGAACCGTATTCATGCTCCTGGCCCCCGCGCCTCTGGCCCGGCGCTCAGAGGTTTGAGTAAGTGCCACACAACAGCCTGAGCTCTTTACGGGGCCCCAAATCTGCATTGCCCTGCAGTGAGAGGCTGTGGGGCAAAAGAATGAAAAAGGGAAGCCAGAGCAGAACTGAGACGCACATTGAATATTATTTTTGCCTCAGGATCTTTTTTTTTTTTTTTTTTTTT